TTGAGGATAGTGTAGATTAAAATCCGCACGAGGATTTTTAAAATTTTGGAGAAAATTTAAATTTGTCGGAAGACTCGCACGGTTCTTTTGATTTTTCCAGGTTCCCGATAAGTGAGGATTACAACCCCTCCTCCTAGTATTTCTGAGTCCGTTACCCCTCACAAAAGAAGTCGCTCCGTTAAAAAAACACGTTAAATATTCTCTATCGTTATAATTTAGGTCAAAACAGGTTTAGTTTTGAATAAAAAGTAAATTTAAGTACAGACTGAACTATTAAATTGTATACATGTAAACAATTTCATAACGAGTGTCATTGATAAATAAAATTATAATGTGCAACAGTTAGTGAAAGCATTGCCACTTCCTATCCTTTTAATGATATGGTCACTTTTTAAGTTGTTCATATGATGGAATAATTCGCATGATTACATAAAGATAGAAGTATTTTTTTTATTTGTAGTTCATTTAAGTCATTGGATGCAGGAATAAATTTAGTACTGACATTTGATATACTTTATTTTTATGAATAAAAAAAAATTGTTGTAATAAAAGAGACGTGTTTTGTAGGCATGTTAAGTTCAGGACTAAACATTTTTAGTTAAAGTTAAAATACACCTTGTAAGCTGTATCAATTAAAGTGGAAAACAAATATTTGTCTCTTCTAAATAAACTGATGTTTTCAGGATGCGATACATTTACAGTACCTTCAAGTAGGGATATTTTTGCTGATATTTCCGAAATGGAGATGAAAATTACTGCAAGAGTTGATAATACATGTATTTAATGAGGAGATTTTGTATAGTACATTCGATAAGAAATGAGAAATAAACCCTATTGTGCGCAATATAGATGTAGGAATTAGATGGATATATTAAGTAGGTTTTCCGAAGTTTAGTAGGGCTCCGTCTAATTTCTTGAATAGGTTGCTAGAATTGAAATACAAAAGTCAAAACTTACGAATATTAAGTAGGGTATTTGATCTAGTAATTTATCGGTTTATTAAGTTATGTGTCCATATACGGTGATGTTATGTGGTTAATAAAACAAAGACAACATAATACTTGGGAATAAAGTACCGATTATTATATATATTCCGTTTCGTAAAGGAAGATACATGTATTGCACAAAATAAAAAGAAAGACAACATTTTAATCTTTTTTTCTGTAAATTTCAGTTTATAATGGCAGATTTACAAATTGAGGTCGATGAGCGTGAGACGTTAGCATTGAACGATGATTTAATACTACCATTTCCAGTAGAAGGCATGACTTGCGAGATCGATGGATGCTCTACTCATAAATATTTGTCGTATAACAGCTACATAAAACATTGAAAAAAATCCACACAAACAAAATCACCTTAAAGTTTTGCGAAAAATGTAAAAAAGCCGTTTAAAAGGAAAAACGATCTTCTTAAGACATTTAAAGACAAACCATAAACTGTGTAAGGAAAGAGCAGCACTAATGTTAGTATATGCTTAGTCCAAAGTCATAATAACAATAGTTATATAAATCCAGGTAACACTTTACCTAGAAAGAAAAAGATATTTCAGTTCACACACTTGAATAGGATAAATGATTCTTTACTTAATTTCTAATTAGGAATTTTTTTTTTACAGAAATTGGCTGATAATTTAAAATGTTCTATTACAACTTCTGATGCACATGAGACTTTTGCTTTGTGGCTTTCACAGGGTATGCCCTGTGAAGTAGAGAGATGTAAAACCTCTTATTTCCATAAACATGACCAGTATGTAAAACACTGGAAGAAATTCCACCAGCAGTTTGTTGCTATTTATAGCTGTATTATCTTTGGATGTTTGGTAAAGTCTCCTGAAAGGTCCGAAATGTTGAAAGACTACAGGAAAGAACATGCTTACACTGATATGGACCTAAAAAATCCGATGTTCGCTTATCACAAGGAGCATTACATGCACTACAAGTCTCCTGGAACTGTATTATTCCGAAAAATCGTCCGTGTTAATGTGGCTGCCAGGGAAGCAGCGAGGAGAGAAAGAGAACAGTACGTTAAAGATCATCAGGTAGAGGTCCATATTCCCCCTAATAACAGTTTGGCAGTGTCCCGAAGACAATGTGGAATTTGACTTTAATAACAATTATGCTGCCAAAGTAATAACGAGATGGTGATCGTATTTTTGACTCGGAACAGTAGAACTTTACCGAGGAAGGGAGTCAATTGTTGCAATTGTTGGTGATTTTGTTATATAATTCATTTTGTGATTTATTTACATGCTTTTGATATTTATGTTGGTTTTTTGTTGTTTGAACAGATATAAAAAATTCTAATTTGTTTTGAGTGGGGAGGAGTGTGCAGTTATGGTTATATTGGTTTCTATAAAATGTTGAAATTGTCTCCCTTTGATTTACCTATTTCAGTAAGATGGATATAATTTTCATTTACATGTCTGTTTACGAGATATTTTCGATTTAGATAGTAGATAATACAGTTTGTAACTTGTCAATTTCGTTCAGAGAATATGAAAGTACTATTTGACAATAAATTTGTAAATTTTATAGTAGAAGTGTTCTTTAAGGTACAATTAATTTGGTATAGCTATTCGTTTGTGTGCATCAAATTTGCAATGTATATTATGTATTTTTAACTAATAAATACAAATATAAGAATTTATTTGCCATTCTCTTCATTGAATTCATAAAATCCGCAAATTATCGATAATATCCGTGTATATTTCATGTTTTAATTCTGATCCAATGACACTTAATTATAAAACTAGATGCAGGTACACGTAGCCTATGAAAACCAATTTGGCTACTCGTCACACTTGGCACTCAATTCTTGTGTTATTTGTATGAAACATAATTGATAATTGTGTCATTAACAATTATGTTGATATATTTTATAACATTTCTGCCAACATTTGAAAATCTCAATTGTTATTTTTCGTGCTTGATGTCATTGTAAAGGGTCAAAATTTGCATGGTATTCTTGCTTCCACATGTGCTTTCTCTACTCTAGAGATAGTATCATGTCTCTTCTTTTATTCTTACAGTGCATTATACATAAGTATGATAAAGCAGACGGGGCAAAATTCACAATTGTCTCTCATAAATGTCTTTTGGTCTTTTGGCCCTTTTTTTCACGACCACAGTCAAGAGTGGGGGGATAAAAGAGTCAATTCAGTAATCCACTCTTAAATCGTGTAAGTTTTTGACAGGTAGAAAAACTTGCAATTAGTCCTTTGTATATTTATTTTTATTGTTTTTTCTTTGTGTATTTTTTAAAAGTGTTTGGAATCCACTATGATATAAATGCACACAAGTGTATATAAAAAGAGTATTTGTGTTAAAATTCATTAAGGGCAAATTAAAAGTAAAAAGTTAGTGTAAATGATCATAATGGTATTTAATACTTTCAACAAGTCATTTAAACATCTATTTATTTATTATATGATTGATTGATTGCTGTTTAAGGCCACTTTCAACACTATTAGGCTATTTCATGGCGGTCAGTTCTTATTGGTAAAGGAGGCCAGAGTGCCCGGAGAGAACCACCGGCCTTCGGTAGGAAAACTGACAATCCTAGTCAATAACGATTGGAGAAGAGTCCAACTACCATGTGCGTGATCATTATATGCCTTTAATTCAGAATTCTAAATAAGAACTATGTTATCATAAAATTTGAAGTGATGACATTGGCTTCCTAAAAAGGATGCAGTTTAACAATTATGCTTTGCATTTGCTCCAATGTGATTATATTTGGATTTAAACCTGTAAGTTGTTTTGAACGGTTATCACAAATGTCAGAATTCAAATGTTAAAGGGAGACCAAATGTATTTAATAACATACATGTGGCAAAATGTTTGATAACTTTGAAAATTATACAAAATAATTCGTTCATAATAATTACCTCAGATCTTGTAAATCTTTATCATTATGGCATAGCTCTATTGGTGCGTTAGCTAATAAAACACCCCTTTTTCTTTTATAGTTCCAAATCATGATTATATCAATCAGTAGAATACCAAAATGCACACCTGTGCTTGTATTGCTAACCTGTTTAAAAAAACATGATTATTTCAGCAGCAAAAACTCTGAAGCAGGTTAACAGATTTTTCTTCAACTTTCAGGTTAGATACACCTTGACCTGATGAACCTTTTTGAATATTGAAGGTGCAATTACTTCAAAACAGGTTGTTAGATTTTTCTCCAACTTTCAGGGTGGATACATCTTGTTATGCTAGTCATTTTTTCAACTTACACTTTTTACCTTGTTCTTATTGTTTTTGAAACATTGGCAGGGAAATGCAAAAACAATAAAACATTTTTACCCTGTCAGTTTTCTCTAATTGCTATAGTTTGACCTCTTAGTTCTATTTTTATACATGGTGGCAATATAAAAAAGAAGATGTGGTATGATTGCCAATGAGACAACTCTCCACAAGAGACCAAATGACACAGAAATTAACAACTATAGGGCACCCTACAGCCTTCAACAATGAGCAAAGCCCATACCGCACAGTCAGCTATGTTGGTTGATCAACCTACAAGAAAATAACAATCTTTATAGTTGACATCCTATAGATGGAGCATGCAAATTTAGTTTCAATCCATTGAGCAGTTTCAGGGAGACTATTTTTTAAAAAATATTGATGGACAAACAACAGACACAAAGTAATGGCAAAAGCTCACATGGCCCTTCATGTCAGGTGAGCTAAAAGGTTACAGGTCAAAAAGCACAGTATATAGTTAGTCCAGAATCAACTTATTACTGTAAGTAATAGAAGACCAATTACTGTGGATTCATTAATATTCGTTGGATACTAATTTTCGTGGATTTTGTGGGTACAGGTGAACCACGAATTTAAATGTTCAATGAATTACAAATTGTTAAAGGAATGTATGCAGACTTTGCCAAAACCATGAAATTAAATATCCACGAATATACAAGTTTTCCTCAATCCACGAAAATTGGTACCCACAAAAATAAATAAATCCCCAGTAAATACAGCTACAAGGAAAACAATATACATTGATTTATTTCTCAATTTTATCAAAATGAGCCAATAAGCCCCAGTGGTCACTAGGGAATAGTCCACAACTTGGTATTTTTTCCAGTCCAACAAGTTCAAAATATTTAGGAACAATAACAGATTTTGGTTTACAATGTCTGGTGTAAATACGATCAAAACGACAACGAGGCTTGAACCTTCCTGCCCACTCTAGGTTGGTATTTCTTGTCATATCCCATGTGAATTCAGCTTCCTTCCTACTTCCAGTTTCTTTCCACATGTCAAACACTCCCTCTGGAAGACCCTTTAACTCCTGTAGCTGAAAAAACAAATGTTTGACATTGAATTTATTATGGAAACATAAACAAGAGTGCACAAGCTTGTCCGCTTTATTGATAATGATTGTACTTATGTTAAAAGTCTTTAAGATAAAGTTTTTACTACAAGTATCACATAAACCTAACATTTGCAGTGATCCATATAAATGAGTTAAATTTTAGATGAATCCTGCAAGCCAGACAAGTACACCTAAAAGTCATTCCATACACCAAGTATAATTGGCCTATTATAGTATCAGGTAAAAATTCAACTCAGAAAACTTAATATTGATCAATGAATAATAAAATGAGGTCTTCAAGTCATATGTAATATGCCAGACAGACCTGTACATCTGACAATCATTCCATACAACAAATACAGTTAACCTTCTGCTTATAGTATCTGAGAAACAGACATAACTGAGTAAAACATATCATTGACCAATGAACCATGAAATTGAGGTCAAAATCTGATAAAAACCTGCCAGATTGACATGCACATCTTACAATTATTCCATACATCAAATATAGTCGATCCACTGATTATAGTATCTCAGAAACTTACCTTTTCATGAAAACTTAAACTTGATCACTAATCTATTAAATGAATTCAAGGTTAGGTACCCAGTCTGATGGAAATGTAGACCTTGCAACGATCCCATCTACAGAATATACTTAACCTATTACCCATAATAAGTGATAACTTTTCTTGATCAAACATGTACTGTTTTTTTAGCAGTTTTAATTAAAAATATATATACAATTTTAAATTTTGAAATTTTTGCATGCATTTACAATTGCTTTTGTTGAACAAATGATAAAAATGTGAGAATAATCAAAAATATTTTAGTAAATGATGCATACAAATAATGCTATCAAAATTAAAATAAAAGTTTTATTTTTTCAAAACCTTTTAAATTACATTTTTTACAATAATAAAAAAACATTGCAAAAGAGAGACAAAAGATACCAAAGGGACATTCAAACTCATAAGTCGAAAATAAACTGACAACACCATGGCTAAAAAAGAAAAAGACCAACAGACAAACAGACAAACAGACAAACAACAGTACACAAAACACAATATAGAAAACTAAAGACTGAGCAACACGAGCCCCACCAAAATCTGGGGGTGATCTAAGGTGCTCTGGAAGGGTAAGCAGATCCTGCTCTACTTGTGGCACCCGTCGTGTTGCTCGTGTTAGTACAAACTGGGAAATTAGTCTAAATCGGTAGGTCACATTTGGGAAAAGGGGACGGGATTGTACATTGTAGTTACAACATTAGGAACATATCTGCTATCATCTGTGAAACAGATATTCTGTAACAGTCAACCAACTCATGATGGTGTCCATAAAATTTACGAAGGGATGATTTCAACTTCACCACTTGGAACTCTTGGTTTAATAGCTTCCTTGTGAGCAGCAACCCTCAATCAAGGAAATCATGATAGGGAATACAAAGCCCTGGAGTATCGTATCAACTGGGAGATATATACTCTGTATGCAGGCGCTGCTGGAATGTTGCTACATAAAAATGGAAAGTTCAACATTTCTTAATATACAGGAAATAAATTTAGATAAGTCTTAAGACAGATCTTTTTTCAGAAACTGCTCAATTGTTGTCTTAATTTTATCTCATTGCATAAAAATATGTACTTTTTAAAATATGGTTGAATCTTCTAGGATAGATATGTGTCTTTTCCTGTCTGCCAAAATAATATTTTTTGTCCATGTTTTGATACATAAAAAAACTTAACAAGAGTGCACATGCTGAAATGTCTCGCCTTCTTTACTAACCATTAATTGTATGTTGATAGTCCTAAATATAAAGCTTTAATACAAGTAACACATAAACTTAACATGATCCAAGAAAATGAGATCAAGGTCAGATTAACCAAATGAGAAATACATTTCACCTTACAATCATTCAATAAACCAAAGTTGACCTATTGCTTATAGTTTCTAAGAAACAGTCTTAACCAAGAAAACTTAACATTGACCAATGAACCATGAAAATGAAGTCAAGGTCAGATGAACCATGCCAGACAGACATGTACACCTTACAATCAATTGATGCATTAAATATAGTTGACCTATTGCTTATAGTATCTAAGAAACAAACTTAACCATGAAAACTTAACATTGACCAATGAACCATGAAAATGAGGTCAAGGTCAGATGATACCTGCCAGACAGACATATACACCTTACAATCCTTCCAAACCACAAATATAGTTGATCTATTGCTTATAGTTGAAGAAAAACAGACCAAAACACAAAAACTTAACACTGAGAAATGAACCGTGAAAATGAGGTCAAGGTCAAATAAAACCTGTGAGACTGACATGTACATCAAAAAATATTTCCATAAACCAAATATAGTTGACCTATTGCATATAGTATTAGAAAAAAAGACCAGGTCCAACCCTGAACAGTTGGGTCAAGTATGGAAACAACATTCAAGCTTGATACAGCATTGAATTTGGATTGTGATTAAATATTTGACACAGCATAGGTTTCTGACACAGAATGAATGTGGTCTAAGAACTTAAAAAATTTTAATTTACCTATTCAAACCATATCATTATTATTTGCTTTTATATATAAATTAGAAATAACCAATTTAAAATTTAAAATCCCCCCCCCAAATTTTTTGAACCCCCTTATGATTCATCAACCCCAAACTCAATCCCAGCCTGCCCTTTGTGGTATGGTAACTTGCAGTACAATTTCAGAGAGATCCATACACTTGAACACCAGTTATTGTCTGGAAACTAGAAAAATGCTTGTTTTTTGGCCCCTTTTTGGCCCCTTATTCCTAAACTTTTTGGGAAATTACCCCCAAACTCAATTCCAGCTTTCCCTTTGTGATATGGAACCTTGTAGTACAATTTCAGAAAGATCCATACACTTACACACAAGTCATTGTCATGAAACTAGAAAAATGTTTGATTTTTTTACCATTTTGTGGCCCCTTATTCCTAAAATTTTTAGTCAATTACCCCCAAAATCAATCCCAGCATTCCCTTTGTGATATGGAACCTTGTGGTACAATGTCAGAGCGATCCATACACTAACACACAAGTTATGTCTGGAAGTTACAAAAATGCTTATTTTTGGCCCCTTTTTGGCCCCTAATTCCCTAACTGTTGGTACCATAACCCCCAAAATCAATCCCAATCTTCCTTTTGTCGTATTGAACCTTATGGTAAAATTTTATAGAGATCCATTCACTTAAACTAAAGTTAGAGTGCGAAAACCAATGTGTCTTCGGACGACGACAACAATGTCATACCAAAATACGACGATTAAGATTTGAGTCGAGTGCACCTGCCACATGCGCGATTCGAACTCATAACCTCAGAGTTGACAAGCTAGTGATACAGTAGTGCGACTACTTAGACCACTAGGCCACAGATGCCTCTATCCAGGAAATTAAAAAAAAATAGAACCCCAAAGAAAATTAAATAGTACAGCATATAATATCTTTATGTACCTCTTTATCTCTGAGATTAAGGTCACCACCAAAGATGACCGTCTGATCGTTGTTAGCACTGACCATATGTTGTAAAGCTATTTTTAACTGCTGTTTTCTCTCCGAGGCATGGTCCTTGGTACTCTCTAAATGTGATGTCATCAGCAGGAATCTTACACCTTTAATGGTACACTGTAAAACAGAGGCGAAAGATAACAAAGGGACATTCAAACTCATAAGAAGAAAATAAACGCCATGGCTAAAAAAGAAAAATTCCAACAGACAAACAGACAAACAATAGTACACAAAACATATCATAGAAAACTAAAGACTGAGCAACACGAACCCCACCAAAAACTGGGGGTAATCTCAATTTGTAATTACTTCTAAAATATAAAATAACTAATAAGGTTAGGGTGAAGTTTGGCTGTTTAACCCTGACACATTTTGTATGTGTCTGTCCCAAGTCAGGAGCCTGTAGTTCAGTGGTTGTCCTTTGTTGCTGTATATCATGTTTGTTTTGTTATCATGCAGTTTATTTTCTCGTTTGAATTGTTTTTTATTTTGGCATTTTGGGGCCTTTTACACCTTTCTGTGCACAATGGGGTTTTCTCATTGTCGAAAGCTGTTAACTTATACCTCATTTCGTCTCTGGTTGGAGAGTTGTCTCATTGACAATCATACCAGATCTTTTTATTTTTATATATACACTACTTCAAACATAGAAAACTTTTCGACTAGTGGTCGAAAAACTATATTTTGCTGTATGTTCAAAAATCATAGTTGCAGTTGTGCACAGTTACTAAAAATACAGATATATTTTCTTCAAGAAAAATTGGTATTTTTCCAAACTTTCTTCTTTTTAGATATTGTTTTAACAGTAATTAAAAATGTAGTGTTCATACATGTTTTTTTTTTTACATGATTTCTTAATAAACCATAAAACATAGAGACCTCAACCTTCAAATAGACATCTGACTGGGGTTTGAAAAACACCCCCCATTCATACATTGATTTATGGGAAAATCACTACCCATTCATATATTTCATAAGAAAATCACAACCCATTTATTTATATTTCCCAGCTATCATAACATCCTATATCAATGATATGTAAACCACATTGGATGCATGATTCATATTACAAGATAAACAAGAATGTGTCCATAGTACACGGATGCCCCACTCGCACTATTATTTTCTATGTTCAGTGGACCGTGAAATTTGGGTCAAAACTCTAATTTGGCATTAAAATTAGAAAGATCATATCATAGGGAACATGTGTACTAAGTTTCAAGTTGATTGGTCTTCAACTTCATCAAAAACTACCTTGACCAAAAACTTTAACCTGAAGCGGGACATCCGGACGGACGGACAAACGAACCAACGGACGCACAGACCGAAAAACATAATGCCCCTCTACTACCTTTTGAATTACTATTGAAAAATAATATTAGCTATATATAGCAGAATATTAAAAAGTAACACGTTTTTTCTTAATAGCAAACTCTCTTCAAAATTCAGTAACAATTTCATCATTTTTTCTTTTGCCTTAGTAACTGTGCAAGGTGACAAATCCTGTAAAAGTTTACTGGCAAAGCCTGGTAAGCAAACAAATCATATTCTGAATGGCCAATATTATAAATGGTACAATTTAAGCAGGCGAAACTATGCAGACTACTAAAATAAAGAAATTTTTCAATTTGTCCATATAGTACAGAAGACCAAATTTTATGCATTGATCAGAGACAAAGTGTTCATGAGAAAATGTGTACTTCTATTTAGTTGGCCTAATTTTTTTATTGTCAAATTGGTCAAGTACACTAAATCTTTAGATTGTCCGAATGTACCTTTCACCTGTCCATGGCAGTCAGGCACCCAATAATGTCAACTCAAGGTTTCAGAGCTTCTTATATTTTCTACTGTGCAAAATGGTAGAATGATTTTGTAGTTTTTGTGTGGTTGGGTTGCATGCTCCTTTATGTCATCTCACATTTCCTCTTATTCATAAAGGAGTAAGTTCATGAAGGGTTAAAATTGGCCCAATGATTTTGATTTTTTTTTTAATCTGTTCAAAATACTACAAATTTCACATAGAAATAGTTGTGATATGATTATTAATACAACATAACTCCTTTTTGGCACATCACATATGGCCCGAGAATATAGTTATTTCGTAGTGCATTTCTTTTAGAAAATAAATTCAAATTTAAAAAATTGCTCCTGCTCTATCTTAAAAAGATTTTTACAGTGTAGTGTACTACTATTGATACAAATAATATCAAAATTATAGAAACTTCTACCAGCTCTAACTCAAAATATTGACAATTCTGTGTTAAGGGGGGCTAAAATTCAGTTTGACAGCTTCAGACATTCTAATTTTTGACCTTTTTTAACTGGACCAAATCACTACTTAACATAAAGATTCAGCACCCAAATTTTTTTAACAAGTAATTTCATCCCCTTACTTAATATTTCATGTATAAAATATCAAGAAATAAATTGGGAAAGTGTATAAAAAAAAAATGCAAGTTATACATTGTTCACACTAGGGACTATATTCGTAGACAACGTAAAACCAAAGGACGATAACTGTGTCCTTGGACCATATAAATGATGAATCCTAATATGACGAAGTATATATCGTCAACCAGTATATATCCACAGTATTTCTACTTTAAGTGCAAACACATTAATACACGAAATTAGCTGGTCCGCTCACCTTAATTGTGTGACCAGGTAAACTCAATTTGCGACAGTAAAACCAACATTTTACATAGGCAAAACTTCAAATACAATACAGTTATCTCTATTTGAATGCAAAATAAACAAATCAGTCTATTTCAGTTATCATTTCGGTGTAAAATTTTATGAAACAAAAATTCTGTGAAATGATGTTATAGTCTTTGGCAACTAAACAAGGTGAGAATCATATGTATGCTTCCGACATCAAAAGTAAATTTTTCAAACCCAAAGTGTTTTCAGGTTGCACTTTGTAAATACCGCTGTTTCTCAAACCACGCCTATTTTGGGGAGATATATAATATTCATAGATATGTTAATTTGTTAATGTACTGGTTCCCATTTATGATCTCTGTGTTTCATCTCATAGAGACATCACTTGGGAATGTAACCAGTATAGAAAAACATGGTAGCGCCTAAATTTTAATTCTTAGAAGGTCCAAATATGATGGTAAGGGTAGTATAGAATTTTAGTATAAGTTTAAACTCTTAGAAGTTCAGGGCATATAAATGTTGAAAATATGCCGCACAGCCCTATATTTTGACCTTTGAATAAAATAGTAGTGCATATAAACTTTCCGTTCTGGGATATTATTTTTCACGAAACTTCATAGTAAAAGTGTCACAGTTTTAGCCGCAAAGGGAGTTCCTATGGGAAAATGCATTGTCTATATTTACAGAATTGCAACCTATATAGGGTTAAAAAATAGAACATACAGAATTTCACAAAATCTGGTTTATCTCAGAGATTTTAAAGAATTTAACTCAAATATGAAGTTTTATAAATATTTCATGAAGATTGAGAAAATCCTGAGCCTTAACTATGATGACTCAGCATAAATTCACAGTTTACAGTGTGCATGGTTTACTTAAAGCCCTGAATTCAAAATAAATTCATGATATATGCCTATTTGTGATTTAAATTGTTTAGAAGTGCTTATATTTACTCTTCGCAGTCATTGCAACTCATTGATCCTTCCTAAATAATTTTGTTGGGTTAATTTTGTCCTGTCGATAACCCAAAAGTAAGCTGTAACACCTAAATGTGTTTTTTTGTGACCGCGCATTAAAAAGTACAAGCTAGATTTACAAAAGGACCTCAATAAAACTTACAATAGTGTGTTCTATCCTAAATATATTCTAAATACTCCACATTGCTAGAAACAGGGAAAATATTTAGGAAATGTGAGGCCCCAGGGGGCAAAAAACAGAAAAAAAATGCCTACCCTGGGTCATAAAACAGATAATTTAACTTGTAAATGGTATGATTTTATTATTTTCAAGGTCTTTTGTAAACAAAACAATAACTGTGCTGGAAAGTTATGCAAAAACAAGAAATGATTGTAACAGGATGCTGTTACAAAGTCTCCCAAACGAAGCTCCCATAATTCGTAATTCCCAGGGTCGCCTGACATTGGGCCACATCCAGTGAAAATTGGTTTGGTCCAGTAAAGTTATATGCATTAGTGATGCCTGGGGACTAACCTTGTATATCATTCAAATCATCTTGGCATGACAAACCAGAATATATATGGTTTAGGGGTGGGGATCTCGACCATTTACAAGATACTAGAACATTGGGGGTGGGGAGGAACCCCTGGGGACTGGCCCTATACGTCATTCAAATGTTCATTACATGAGGAACAGGAATATATATGGTTTAGGGGTGGGGATCTCAACCATTTACAAGATATAACAACATTGGGGGTGGGGGGAACCCCTGGGGACTGACCGTATACGTCATTCAAATGTTCGAGACATGACAAATAGGAATATATATGGTTTAGGGGTGGGGATCTCGACCATTTACAAGATATTAGAACTTTCTCAAATGGCAGGGGGTCGGGATGACCCCTGGGGACTAACCCTGTATTTCATTTGATGTGCTTTATCATGACAAACCAGAATATATATGGTTTAGGGGTGGGGATCTCAACCATTTACAAGATATTAGAACTTTCTCAAATGGCAGGGGGGCGGGATGACCCCTGGGGACTAACCCCTGTATACCATTCAAACCATCTTAGCATGACAAACCAGAATATATATGGTTTATGGGTGGGGATCTTGACCACTTAGAAGATATTAGAACTTTCTTTAATGGCAGGGGGTGGGGGTGACCCCTGGGGACTAACCCTGTATTTCATTTGATGTGCTTTATCATGACAAACCAGAATATATATGGTTTAGGGGTGGGGATCTCAACCATTTACAAGATATTAGAACTTTCTCAAATGGCAGGGGGTCGGGATGACCCCTGGGGACTAACCCTGTATATCATTCAAACCATCTCAGCATGACAAACCAGAATATATATGGTTTAGGGGTGGGGATCTTGACCACTTACAAGGTATTAGAACTTTCTTAAATGGCAGGGGGTGGGGTGACCCCTGGGGACTAACCCTGTATTTCATTTGATGTGCTTTATCATGACAAACCAGAATATATAT